ATAGTACAAATATTATCATTAATGATAGTGTAGATGTATATCTCAGGGGTTATAATCACTTTCGCTCTCTGCACCCCTGGAACATGTTGAATGCACAAGCGAATAATTTGATTGGTTCCAGGAGAAAATAAAAAAAAACCTGACCAATCACATGCTGATACGCTCCTTGTAAAGATTAGAAAGGAGCGACACCTAACTTCAAAGCCATTACAATCTACAGTTATGCGACCTCGAGATTCGTACGTCAGGGATCAAACTAGTCTTTTCGTCTCGTCCACAAGGTGTCGCACATAGAACCTTCAATCTTGCCCTGATATATTCCAGGGGTGCAAAGAGTGATGATAACCCCTGGAGTATCGAAAATGTTGAAGATGAATTACATATCCGTGTCTTTGTGTAAGGAGATGAATGAGGATGTGTTTAACTAATATACATTGTTAATTGTGAGTTACCTCCCTTGATTGTATTGCGTGAGTGAGGCCGTGTGTTTAACTGATATATATTGTAAATTGTTAGCTACCTCATTTGAATGTATTGTGCGAATGAAGCAGCGTGTTTAAAAGTTCTGTTCCTGTCTATTGAAATATTTATTTCCGAGTGATGGTCCACAAGGTTGGTCCCTGTTTTTTGAAAGATCATATTTACAGTCTAGTGGTGGTCCGCGAGGCTTGATCCTGTCTATTGAAACATCATATTTACAGTCTAGTGGTGGTCCGCGTGGTTGGTTCTTGTCTCCTGGAACAGAATTTTACAGTCTAGTGATGGTCCGCGAGGCTTGATCCTGTCTATTGAATCATATAATTTACATTGCTAATATATCGTTTCTTTTACAGCCCTTTGGTGGTCTCCTTGACTGGTTCCTATCTTTTGTGCTGCTGGTCGCCATTGGCGTGATTGCGTATCAGTCGTATACTTAAAAATACATTGACAAATCATATGAGACGATTCATCATATCAGTGCTTTGGAAATAGATTTTTTTCATCAAATACGACGGCAATATCAATTAGATAAAAAAAAACCACTATGTGTTTATCCCATGTTTGCCCTCAAATGTAAACATTGTAATAGTTACTTACCGTCAACATCAATGAAACATAGTATAATAAGGCAAATTATCAGATTTACTTGTGTCGTTTATTTACATAGAGTAATTAACTCATAGTTAATGTTCTACTAACAGCAGGGTAGGATTTGCTATGTACATGGTTGAGCCAACATCTGCATTGTGGTTCTTTCCTGTATGAAATATGAAACAGAAACTAACATATCTCCACGAGGAAACAAATCTGGGTATTGATTTCCTTATCTTTGAAGAAAGTATCTTGTTAAAATTTTAAATTTCAAAGTTAATGATTAAAAAAAAAATGTCATAAATTGGTACACGTGAGTATATCCCCGAAGAATGGGACAACAATTAACTGTGTAAAACAACGAAATAAACTAGATCTAATAAACTGCTGACACAACAGTAACAGGGGGTACGTGAGAGTGACAGACGTAAAGCATATCGAGGACAGGATTGGACGATCGAAAAATAAAATAAAAATATATGAAGCGAGTCCGGATATCGTTTAGTCAAATATTTACATATAAAAAGCATGATGTTTTGATTTGAAACACCATTGATGAAATATCGTTAGCTTGCTTCCGGGGATGGAAGTTTTCGTTGTGAACGTACTTGTTAATGTCCATTGTAGCTAAATATAAACCAGCAAGTCTGTGTAGATAACAATAGGACGTTCTAAGTATTAGGATTGCTAAAATAAAAAAAAACAATTCCTAAATTAGATATATTGATGACGTTTTTGCCTTTAAATAGCAAGATATTTATTGACCGCTAAAGATCTTCTAGGTACCAGATCTGTGTCTATATGTGGTTTACCTGATCGGGCGTTCATACACAATTATTACATAAATTGAAAATAACAAAACACTATAAACGATTCTAGGTTGCAATTTATTTTCATTTTATAACTACTAATTGCATTAAGTGATGTCAACACTATTTTTTAAAAATAAAACAGCAAGTAATGTTTTATCACGATAAAAGTTCAACGACTAAATAGCAACGTATTCTTAGTAGAACAAGTACATACGGAAGATGTAGAGGAAGTCTGTCCTCTTGGTATATACCACAACGTAAACATTAGAGTAAAAATCTTGAGAGATATGAAATCAATACCGCTACTTGAGTTATCTCTTACAAGCATGATACACATACAGATTTCTGTGCAGACATATTACGCCTTCGTATCAAAATTTTAAACACAATTTCATGATGGGTATGAAAATGTTTCTGTGGTTAAAACATATGACCCCGGTAAGTATTTTGTTTGTGAGCGTGTCGCTGCACGAAACAACGTGCCTTTTCTACTTACTGTAAAGGAGAGTACCATCTAGTCATCAAAACTACATTTCTAAGAAGTTGTGCACACAGTAAATCGTTGGGCACTTTCACTACAGCGATCATAATGGAGCGTTACAGGCAAAGGATAGCAGAACACATTCACTAGTGGAAAAAAACACATATTCAAAAGGTTTGCTAATGTGTGGAGTCATCATCCATCTAATGAATTTAACAAATATTTAAACAAGTATATTATGGCATTCTGATAAGTGAATGTTGACCTCGGATCGACGTCATTTTTTTTTCAGTAATACAATATATTACATTAAAATACGGTTACCTAGAAATTAATATACACAATTGATTGCTGTTGTTATTTTTAACTAAAATATGGCACAAAATCAACCATGTGTTTTTGCCACCAGTATCACTGGAATGATACACAGTTCCTTATTAAACTTACACTAATTTACATACACTGTGACATGCTGTACATGTCGTAACGTGAACATAACGATATTATATACATTATACACAGCTAATCCTTCGTGCAGTATCCAGCTACATGTTATACAGAACTGGATGACGTAAACATATTTAACACAACATAATCATATTGCATCATCAATCTATTCTATGCTAAGTATACCTTATTGGATTTTTGCATTGTCTTATGAAAACGATATCACATTCATTACATTTCTATCTGTACATACCGACTCGACAACTACACACAAACATGTAAAGGGACACAACCCCGTCATAATTCATCATCTATAAAGGGCTATAACTCATCTGTTTAGTATATACAGACCTGCTATATAACAACACTACATAATGCTAACAAGAACAGTCACTTTTCGACTGACACGTACATTTGTTCATGAAACAAATTAATTTGTGTCTTTGTACCATTGCCAAAATCGTCACACCAACGATGGAATATCATATTATACCAACTTAATCATTTGTCCTTTAATTACTACCTTAGACAGCATGATATGCAATTTGGAAAAAAAAAGTTTCATTATCATATATTAAACACAATGACATATAATATACCTATACACGTTGGAACAAAGACAAAGAACCTGATTTATTGATGACCAATCAGATTCTTTGTTCCATTTTGTAATCTAAATATTATACTCAGCGAACAAACATATGAAATCTCGCATCTTAATGAATGATTGTAACAATAATACTTTAACTGAAGTTATTAGTTTTACATTAATGACCTCAATAAAACTCAGTATGACACTGATATGAATTTGTGTCACAGCATTAACAAATAATGACTTTCAAAGCAATGAAATAATGATAAGATCAGGAACGTGCAATGAAACGTTTCATTTTCAAAGCATATGAACATTACAAATTAGCAAATGCCTTGAGGAAATTGTCAGAATACATTTTCATTTTGACAAAATGATTTATAAACATCTAATTATTCGGGATATATTCAACGCATGACATTATGAATTTAGTTATTTTTGAAGAAAGTAGTCAAATTGTAAAGATGGAACAAAATGATAATCAAATATGTATCCACCTAGTTATCTCCCTTTATTTTGAAAGCTTGATTAAACATCCAAGATAACGATAACGATATATTTTGTGTGATGAAGTGCATATTAAATTTGTAATACGAAGTGATCCCTTCATGAACTGAGACGTGTATATCTATATAACAAACTAGTAATAACTGAATGATTGTTTCATAGTCATTGACTTGTCCAAGTCAACTTTTGGTGTACATCACTAAAAGGGAAATATTTTTATCAAAATTATGTTCTTAGATGCAGCGGTATGTGGCAGTGAATTTGCAACCATCTACGACCATCTCTTATTTACAGAAAAGCTACAAGACCACCTCTGTGTTGTTAAATGGAGTTTATATGATATCGTGTGACCTATGCAGGGCATGTTAAAAGCTACATCATAAGAAAGAAAGGATTTATGATCAGTGTTGTTAGGTGATATTTCACGACCGATGTCAGGCCAGTTTGAGTTAAGATCATTTATCCTTTGTTATTGGAATCAGTGTAGTTGGACTCATATGATTTAGAGTTTAGGAAATGGTCAGTATTGTTGTCAAAAGTATTATTCTTCTATCTATAGACCAATGGGTGGCTAGCTGACACATAGGTAACACGCTCACCATTCACATAGCCGCCCGGGGTTCGATTCCCGAAATGGATGTGAAAAGATAAGAGGTCACCTGCCAGACCACGTGGGTTTCCCCTGGGAGCTCCGATTTCCTTCCATAGTCAGACCCCTCGCCTGCTTCCATCCGGTACTATTAGCTGTATTGGTTGTAAATATTTGTTTTCGCAATTGTAAAATAAATAAAGTTTAGTTATATTGTCAGTATAAACAATACGTATGTTTTACCAAACAGCACCGTGCTTAAGATATGGATCTTTTAATTTGTATATGTATAGTCAGTTTTATCTTTTATAGGTTTTCTCAATACAGGTAGTATTGTATGTTTTCAGTAGCTTTGATAAAGAATTCTTGCTCCGAGATGTTGGTTTTCTGTTACATATCTTTGATAGAAAGTTTTTCTTTCTTATCTTTTAACTTTTGGTTTTGTTTTTTTTTAATTATTGATAGAAAATTGCTCTTTACTTTTTATCTTAGTATGTTCAATCTATGGACCATATCTTTGGTCGAAGGTATTATAGGGCTGCTGCTGGTAGATCTGTGTCGCCATAGCCGGTGGTTCATTCATCGTTATCCTCTGTGTGTCATTGTCAAAGTTCTGAAAAAGTAAATTAATAAGTACAGTAATGTTGATTGGCTTCATAGGAACTGAGTGCAGCTGTATTCGGAAAGGTGTTCTTGTAACGAAATGTTCACATCACAAGACAATTTATACTGATGAAACACAACGATTCACAATAACTAACAAAATAACTTTAGATCTTAAAAAGTTCACTGACCTTTAATCTTCTATCATATTTACGTCATTTGTAAATGCTGTGTACTACTACAGCAGGGGGATTAAACACACAAGAATGTATTTTGGAGAAAGAAGTAGCACACCTGATGTCCTTTACCGGACCATTATACTTACATCCGGGTAAAAGTCATCGCCGGGTCCGTTTGGAACGTAACCTGTAACAAAACATATGTAAATAGATAGATCATTTGTACTAGATATTACAGTAACAAAGGCAGCTTCACCTTCACTTATCGTCACTTTCATCACATTTGCAGATTAAGATGTCTACTGAATATTGTATCTGTATATAAGACCCTCGTCAAAAATATAAGAAAATGTTATTGACATCATTCAAAAATATACTTAAAACAACTTATCAGATAACTTACTTGTGGCTCCATAGTTAGTCATACCTAGGACAGAAAAAAGACAGGATTGGAGTCAAACACTAAATTTCAAAAATGCAATAGTCTCTCATCTGTTATATATACGTCGCTAAGAGCTGTGCACAGCCATAGAAGAGGAGTTAGACACTCAAGGATTTATTTTAGTTACATAATGTCTGCAAGTTGTTGTATTCATCATAAACAGTCATTTGACATTGAAAATAGAAATATGTTATCATCCAGTTTTTAAATAAGGATTATTCTTTAAATTACTTCGAAAAATGTGTTTTAATTATCAAGTTAACCCTATCTTGAACGAAACCTTATCCGAAAGGACTATATTGCAAATATCCAATTCTGAATGCTGAAGGTTCCGCATTTCGGTAAAAAAAAAACAAACATGTGCCATGTGTTATTACAATGCACACATTGTAATAACACATCTGTTAAAGGTTAATTTTTCCCACAAACTAAATATCAATGCAATGACAATGTCTATGGTAGCCTTTTCGTTGTGGTTATTGAAAACAAAATTTGTTTATTTGTCAAGAATGAAACATTATGAAGATATAATGGTGTTCTTAAATATCTAAAAATCTTAAAAAAAACTACATGTGTATATCTAAATTTTCCTATGTCGTCCAAGCTGGTAATGTCATGTGTCGCGGACATAGTCTTAAAAACCTCTTCCTTGTACAGGAATTTTCAACAGAACATTGATAAATGCTGTCAAATGTCCTCATATTTGACAAGTGATTTAACATATTTTAATTAATTTAGTCAGGAGTTACTAGCCTCGAGAGTAAACCTAACACTTTGACATTAGAGATCAGAAACCCATAGTTTGTGACTGCAAGAGAACTTCAATTCGTTTTAACTTCATTAAAGATTTTCAAGGATCGTTTGAATTTGTGTCATGACGATGAAAGCTAATTATAGACTCGTTTCTTATGTGCTGATATTTCAGCAAATTTATATGAATTTTGTTTTAAATCACCTTTTATATGATCATGTCGAGCTAAATTAAACTACACCTTACTCGGAATAATAAAACGTCTTTTCCTTCCTAATTTTTTTTCTAAAATTGAAGGATAGACCACAGCCTCATTAACGAAGTTATCAGACTTGCTGAATTGTGCTGACACGATTTTCTGAAATATTGATTTGATCGAGTCATATAATAGCGGGTTCCTTCGTTCCTACTGGTCTCATTAGGAAGCCCTGTAAATGACATTACCGCACTTCAACTTTGGCGTGCATGCTCGTGATGATGTGACTATTTTTTCCTGACTATATCACCTCTCAGTCTGTAATTGAACTTACGTTCCCATACTGTTGTTCAAATTGTGCTTTTATAGGGTGAGGGTTATCCCTAATCCTAACAGTAAATTAGTCGTCAGTGAAGAATATCCTAAAGACAACCGTAATTGTCTGTTTCATGTACAGCAACTTTTCAATGCAAATCTTTAAGTATGGATAGGTATTTGTGTAATCAATATAATACTATCTTATCATAGGCTGATTTACCTTCTTCTCGGAGCTTGTTACTCGAGAGGTCCCGAGCCATACCGGAAGGGACCCCATGTGGTGCCAGATGACACATATTGTCCTCCTCCTCAAGAATTTCGTGCTTTTCACGACTACCGAAGGAAAACTTGCCATGGTCTACGATGAAGAAGTTCATCACAATATACAGAATCAGCAATATCAAACATGTAACTCCGTACGCCCGGAACGTCACTTCCGCTCCTGAAACAAACAATTTCATTATCGCAAAGCTATTATATTTTCTGGCTATCATTTATTTATACTAAGGAACAAGTAACGGTATGCCAAAACATTTGTTTTTGCAAAAAGCTGAGTAATATAATTACTGTTGGTCTCATTGGTGCTTTAAGCCGTGTAATACTGTCCAACTTTCTGACGGAAATGTTTTTCGTAAAGCGGGCATTTACAACAAGCAACATCATAGTCATGAGTTTTATCACGTGTATTGAGTTCCTGTGCCAGTAATGGACGCTGAATAAGCGTTCTGTAATGTTACTATGACAACTAGAATTAGCTTAGCTAGGCGCCCAATAATCAAATAATACAAAAAAATCACGTGACATTAATTGCAATGTGTGTAGTGCAATTACTACTGATCTACTTTCAGTCCATATGTGGAACGTTTTGAACTGATATTGATATCAGTGGTTTAGGTCTCCGCATGGAGGGTCATTTTGCGAGCTATATTCCTCGGAAGTAAGAATGGATACTCGTTACAAATTATGTCTTCAACCAACATAAGCATCCGTCACAATCGCATTCAACGGACGACAACGTCGAGCTGTTTCCATCTGCTCTGTCGTAAATTCGACCCTAAAAGTCACATGTAAACTCTAAAAATCAATTAGGCACTCTGAACATCTCAAAGGCACAACTAACATCTACAAGGCAATCAAATCGGTTGTAATAGATCTAAATTCAATTAACTGCGTGTTTGGTTCACTGGCTCCGTGCCAGCTTTTTCCATTTAATTTTCAAAGCGTCCATATAACCCAGGCAATGTGTGGTCACAAGGTCCTAAAAGTGTTTTAAGTGTGTGATTATGACATCTAGAACAGCAAACCAACTTGACTTGAAAACTTGTGCCAATCAATAACAAACCGATTTTCTCTTTAAATGTCTTCCACATGTGTATCCTTTTTCGTCATATGTTGTTTGGGAATTAATTAATACACTTGAAAGCTGACGCCGATAGAACTTATCAATCATGGGAAAACAACACGTTGTTGTATTTGTGTCTATGAAACTAGAGTGATCTGGTTCTCATAGCAAAAACAAAAGTAGACTCGACTCCTCGGTGATAAAGAGAGATGGCATAATGTCACTTAGATGTACATGTCATGTCCTCCCACGCAAATACATGAAAAGTAGTGTGTATATCGAAGTATGGATATAGACAAGAGGCTAAATAGATATAAACTATATAGCTACAGAATATATAGGTATAGACTATGTACATTAAAGACTATATATAGATAAAGACTTTATATCTAAACTAAACATAGTAGATATAGATTTAGACCTATGACTTTAAAGAGACTATATAGAGAAATATACTATATAGATACCGGATATATATAGACTATATAGATATAGTTTATACATTTTCCCCATTCATATAAGATTTGTGAAACAGGAATTTTAATTTTAACTTTCCAAGCCATTGGCGAATGTGAGATTAATCTTCAGATGTTTTGCCTACAAATTTTGATATCATCTCCATGTTTGATTCAGTTTGCTGACAAATCATTACATTAATGATCAAAATACCCTTGGTAATCTACTCAATGGACACTTTCCGTGATACTAAATGAATTATCGAGAACTGATACAATTATAGCGTTTGGCAAGTCTACCCGTAATATATTCAAGGAAAACATCAAACGATATAATTTCGGAGATAAAAGTGTAAGTCATATATTAAGTTGTCTAGTCGTGTAGATTCCGGCATAATGTTCTGTCAGACATCAAGATATTGATAGTGGTGATAAGAAAACTTGCCTTGTCAAACAAAACCATATTCCTACTCACCATAGCTGTAGACCATTATGCCGCCGAACACCGCCCCACATCCGCGTCCGAGACCGTGATGTAGCCCCTGAAGTATACCTTGAGCGGAGGAGCGCAAGCCCGTGGGTATGGCTTGTGTGATATAAGAACAACACGCCGCCCATACCGCCGCGTGTGTCAATCCTGTGAAGCAAATACAACCTTTTCTATTAAATCCATTGATAAAGATCAGTTGATTCCATATAAGCAAAACAAAGATTTACACGGCGACTCATGTAAATGGAGAATGGGACCAGGTGATCCGGAAGACTAAGCTTTCTCTGTCTGCTTTATCGACGACGACCGACATCTAAAATAGTGGTAAACACCAATTATTGTTCTCAGATGAGAACAAAGTATACAACAACATAAATTTGTCACCAGCATTACAAGGGTTAGCAGTTTTCATGGGCATTGTACTGACGACAATAATTATGAAATTATCAAAATAAGATGTTTTATTGTTATTGAATTCGGAATATACTTGCACACCGGAAAAGATCAATCAAGAAAGCGTTTACTATATTCCCTAATACTGTAAGTATTCCACAGCATTCATGTTTTCTTGTTTGTTTGATTGACTGTGTAAGTCAATCGTCTTTGACATCATAGGTAGCTTGATGAGTTAAGTTATAGGAGGAAGACTCTAGAACATACATCCTATGTTCCAATAGACATAGATTCGCTTATATATATGTACCGCTCAAAGCAGTCAGTGTTTAGACCAATATACAATAAAGGTGAAATAGTCAATGAAACAAAAGATGAATATAGTACTAATAATGATTATAGTCACAACTAGTCCAGTATTTCCCCTCAACTACTTTGGATACAGTAAATGTCGTTATTTTCGAGTAGTTTTTGTTCCAGTATGGAAAAACCCACAAGAAATAGATGGATTAAAAATATAAATTAATAAAGAAAATAAATACAATCAACAAAATATGCAGAGTGCATTACACAGAGTTCCTTACAGCACTAATCAGCTCGTGTATCCAGACCCTTCCTGATTCCACTTAATGGCATTCTCACTATCATTAATCTACTCACACCTATTGAAAATTTGCAATATCAGTTTTGTTTTAGAAATCTAATGATCAACACTTCTCTCGCTCTTAACGCTTTCAACTTCAAACAGACACGAAAATGACTATCATAGATTTCACTTTTATGGCGTTTAACACTCCAGCAAAGTTATCTAAATTTTCACAGATATCACGTTTTCATATGAAATGCAATGCTTTTTCCTAACCTTTTCAAGTTGAAATTAACATTTAAGATCAGGAGCATTGTCTGTTCTTATTTAAAATGAACATTTACAAAATGGATCTCCTTTTTGTATCTATCTTTGTAAAATTCCACAGATATGGATTTTCGAGAATCCACTTGAAATCAATTACCAAATTTACTGACAACAAAGTTGGAATTATAAAGAATCGAATATCAATTTCAGCTGTAGTTACCGAAACACGCAATCAGCAAGGACTGTCACAGTAATAACTGGGTGTGACTGTTAACGACTCCCAAACTAGAGATAATTACGAGAGTTGCCATCCAAGTCTTGCTATTCTGTAAGAAGAATTCAGCTACTTTGTGATGGATCTAGAGTCAGTGCTTCTTAATGAAGCCTTACATTGGTTCAGTGTAGAGGCTTCTTAGGAATGGTCTTCTTCAAATAACGATAGTCGGAGTTTCAAATATTCATTATCCATTTTTGAGCAGAATTGATGTTGACGGACTGCTTACACATACAACATTTCTCACGATATTAGATCTATTACACTTTCTTTATCCCTAATACTAGTGACAGTAAATTCATAATGACTCTAATACAAGTTCGTATGACTTCATCGCTGTCTGGCCAATGTAAGCAGTGTGGCATTACTTTTACACTTTAATACTAGTCTTTGACTACATTTTAACACATTGATATTAGTCTTTGACCTACATTTTAACACATTAATATTAGTCAATGACCTATATTTTAACACATTAATACTAGTCTTTGACCTACATTTTAACACATTAATATTAGTCAATGACCTATATTTTAACACATTAATACTAGTCATAGAATTTATTTCAATACATTTATACTAGTCATTGAGCTATATTTAAACACAATAATACTAGTTCTTGGATTATTTTTCTATACATTAATACTAGCCCAGTGGGCTTTACAACTAGAACTAGTTCATCAGACTCTATTTATACCAAACTATTTAGAACTATATCACTATTGCTCATACCAGACCACGTGACTATATTTTATTATCAGTACACGTAATTACTCCCCCTGACACTTTAGATAATTAGTCCATTTTGGTCACTTTGACTGTATCCCCTATCATCAGTTATCATAATTCCACAGTTATGTATTATAAGATAAGACTGATCTACACATAACTGTATTTTTCATTCCTATTTTTCTCTGCATATCCATTGTGACTTTATTTCTTTGTATATTGTCCTTACATGTGAACCAGTCCAGATGACATCATTTCTACCATAACCGAATATACCTGACACGAGGGCGTTCATTAAAAACCAAATATAATACTGCACTAAAGAGGAAGCACCTCCCATGTATTTGGAAGGACCTGGTGATCTAGAAATCTTCAGCATCTAAAACTACACTGAATTTCTCCATCTGTCCTACTCTGAAATACAAATTACAAAAGACATCACCTCTCACAAATATCTGTCTAATCATCGTTAAAATAAACAATCGAAATGAAATACGAGAGAAAGAAGTATAACAACGATTAATTCATGTTTTACTTTTTTACTTAACATCCATTTTCTAATTTTCAGTTAATCACAAAAAAAAAAAAAAAAAAATTACTCACCTTGGACGAACTCAAAAGGTAAGACCCACCAAGGACTTTTCAGCCATGAAATGTACATAAACCGAACAACATTGCCTAGTAAACCTGCGTACATCACCCGTATGTGTCCTGAAAATAGACAAACAATTTTACTTAATACTGATTTTTTTTCCCCGTTGCGTTGTGGCAGCACGATATATCATACATTTCCAGGGAAAGACTTACAGCGAGAATTCGGATTAGTGTTCGACATGTTACATGTCGACTGCTACTTCAAGTCCAAGTAAATAAATCTCAGAAGTAAGATAATTTCTTTGCAACTGTATAGACAACTTTTTGTGTAAGGTAAATTTACTCTAGCATAATGCCATAGAATTAGTCGGATGATACGCCTTAAACCGATATTGACCTGTCCCAAACATTGGCATTGTCCAGGCTTAGTGAAGAAAGGCAAAATAATAATCGACCAGTCTCCGGCAATTTGTCACAGGCCTTTAACTCCTGTGGAGGCCAGTCTGGCACTTTGTCACGGGCCTATAACTCCTGTGGAGGCCACTCTGGCACTATGTCACAGGCCTATAACTACTGTGAAGGCCAGTCTGCCACTTTGTCACAGGCCTATAACTCCTGTGGAGGCCAGTCTGGTACTTTGTCACGGGCCTATAACTCCTGTGGAGGCCAGTCTGGCACTTTGTCACAGGCCTATAACTACTGTGGATGCCAGTCTGGTACTTTGTCACAGGCCTATAACTCCTGTGGAGGCCAGTCTGTCACTTTGTCACAGGCCTATAACTCCTGTGGAGGCCAGTCTGACACTTTGTCACAGGCCTATAACTACTGTGGATGCCAGTCTGGTACTTTGTCACGGGCCTATAACTCCTGTGGAGGCCAGTCTAGCACTTTGTCACAGGCCTATAACTCCTGTGGAGGCCAGTCTGGTATTTTGTCACAGGCCTTTAACTCCTGTGGAGGCCAGTCTGGTACTTTGTCACAGGCCTATAACTCCTGTGGAGGCCAGTCTGTCACTTTGTCACAGGCCTATAACTCCTGTGGAGGCCAGTCTGGCACTTTGTCACAGGCCTATAACTACTGTGGATGCCAGTCTGGTACTTTGTCACGGGCCTATAACTCCTGTGGAGGCCAGTCTAGCACTTTGTCACAGGCCTATAACTCCTGTGGAGGCCAGTCTGGTATTTTGTCACAGGCCTTTAACTCCGTTGGAGGCCAGTCTGGTACTTTGTCACAGGCCTATAACTCCTGTGGAGGCCAGTCTGGTACTTTGTCACGGGCCTATAACTCCTGTGGAGGCCAGTCTAGCACTTTGTCACAGGCCTATAACTCCTGTGGAGGCCAGTCTGGTATTTTGTCACAGGCCTTTAACTCCGTTGGAGGCCAGTCTGGTACTTTGTCACAGGCCTATAACTCCTGTGGAGGCCAGTCTGGTACTTTGTCACGGGCCTATAACTCCTGTGGAGGCCAGTCTGGCACTTTGTCACAGGCCTATAACTCCTGTGGAGGCCAGTCTGGTATTTTGTCACAGGCCTTTAACTCCTGTGGAGGCCAGTCTGGTACTTTGTCACATGCCTATAACTCCCGTGGAGGCCAGTTTGGCACTTTGTCACAGGCCTATAACTCCTGTGGAGACCAGTCTCCGGTACTTTGTCACAGGCCTATAACTCCTGTGGAGGCCAGTCTGGCACTTTGTCACAGGCCTAAAACGCCTGTGGAGGCCAGTCTGTCACTTTGTCACAGGCCTATAACTCCTGTGGAGGCCAGTCTGGCACTTTGTCACAGGCCTATAACTCCTGTGGAGACCAGTCTCCGGGCACTTTGTCACAGGTTATAACTCCTGTGGAGGCCAGTCTGGCACTTTTTCAGAGGCCTATAACTCCTGTGGAGGCCAGTCTGGCACTTTGTCACAGGCCTATAACTCCTGTGGAGGCCAGCCTCCGGCACTGTCTTTTACCGATACCTGCTGTGTCTAAGAAAGATACCTGGTGTGCTGACCAGTCCGGGTGTCTACGTCAGGACGTTGGTTATACCTGCTGCGTCAACCCATGTTGTAGCTGCCACAGATAGAAACATGTTGTGTCGACCAGTCTGTGACTTTGTCTTAGAGAGATACCTGCTGTGTCGATAAGTTTATGCCGTTGGCCCTTTCGAGTTTCTTTGAACAAAGGTCCTTACAGGAATTTGTTTGAAAAGAAATCCAAGCCAGAATCATCACCAACATTAAAACATATGAGATGAAAAGATATGTACAAAACGCGACAAAATTAGCATATCTTATTATTACTAATAACTTAAAATGAACAATGACATCAGTTCCTGAAAGAAGTACAACTACATAGCCTTGGAACGTGTGGGCATACAAGATTAACGATGAAATATTTACAGGGACGACAGCTCACGGTACATATCTTCAACAGTTAGGACTTGAATGATTTTAATGATGGCAATACACGGTACATGTCTTCAACAGTTATGATTTGAATTATTTTAATGACGGCATCACATGGTACATGCCTTCAACAGTTAGGACTTCTTTTAATGATGGCAGCACATGATACATGTCTTCAGTAATCAAGACTGTAGACGAGTGTCTATCAACCTCTGATAATTGATCCAATGATCTATAGGCTGTTACAGATTGCCATGTATGACAATATATTTGATATAACGATCTGAGAGAATTTTATTAAAAGACGTCGGCATCCGCCGAGCGCCTAATTAATGTGAACGCACCACTGCTACACCCACTGACTGTCCTTTGTCTCTTGCAGTTGCTTGCAACTTGAACGTTTGACAAACAGATGTCATTTACTATCCGAAATGCTCTATCTTAGTAGTACATCTCTGCCATGAGGATTGATGCTGATTTTCTCGGGAAAGCGGTGAAGAGGAACAACATTATTCATTACCGATAGAGAGTAATCGCTAATGCCCATCTGTATATCTCAATTAATAGTCCCTGGAACATTGCATCATCCGGTACTTAGGTGTTATTGCAAGCGTTAAGATTTTTGCAGATTGTGGTGTAGAGACTAATGATGCTACTGACCGAGGTCAATCTGTTGAAGTGACAGATATTATAAAATTTTTTGGGGCTCGTCGTATATACAATCATCCTACGAGTCTTTGTACAGGGCCCTTGTTACTTATTTAGAAAAATACAATATAAATATTTTTTTCACGAAACCGTTCAAATGTCTAGTTTCAAAAAGGAGCAATGGTCTTTCGACACTTATGCATTCCTGATCTATAATCATATATCAATATGACATATTTTATTTTCAAATTCTAATATTTATACTCTCGACAGGCATCTCTCGTCTTTGTAACAACAATAGTTAATACCATAACACTGAACTCTTTACGTGCCTTGTTGGCGGGTGATATGCGTTGATAAGTATTTAACTGGTTTTTGGCATCCAGATGCATAAATATAAGATAAACTAGGCTAGTGCTGGTTGCAAATTTGTTCCTTTGTAAATTCACAGGGCATTTTGTCTGTTTTTATTATTTCTTTCAGTCAATGGTTTCCTTTTCGTTGAATAACATTTCACGAACATTGGAGAGGTATGTGCCAATGTATACGGGTTTTTGAGAGTTCATCAACGGAAGACGGGGTTGCTCCTTGGCGCTTATTTAGTGTTACCGCACTGAAATGCTATGACATGGACACTGTTTGACATCTACCCGGTCACATTATACTGATGACCTCCTTACCAGTTCATACCAAGTAACTAATTTAAGATGAGAATTCAATAAGATCTGTTGAGGAGGAGGAAAGCACAACATATGAAGGTTCCAAGACAGTCGCCTCTGATGGTAATGCAATATGGATTTCACGCACAATCTAGACCCGTATACACCGTATCACACACATGTAAAACAGGTCCTTAGAGTCGTATCTCTCATTGCAGTTTCACAAGCATTCATTAACCTTCAGCAGCTTTAGTGGAGTTAATGACAAATGCTAGTTAAGGGCAAGCTCCTTTAAGCTTGTATTGATTTCCCAAGAAACCATACATGTTTTGGAATGTCTTTAAGGTAAAGGACCTTTGTGAAGCTCGGGTCAGATTTAAGAGGTAAAGGAGGCAAACACACGTGTATTTAACCAATACCATTGCCAAAAAAGTTCATAATGCAGTTAAAAAACAGATCAGTCGGTTTTAAAACTTTTAAAAGTAATTTAATCAAAACAAACCGGAACTTAATTTGCTGCATACCGACAGATCGATTATCAAGATATGAGGCAGGAGGACCGATTGCGTTTGCAAGGAATCTGTGTTAAATGGGTGATTAACTCTACCTTCAGGGACCCTACCACCAACATGGCCTGTTTAAGTATAACAGATATGGCCGTACAGGCAGAGGAGCTGGGAGATTTATATGCACACTGCACGACATTACGACGTAACTCGGGGCTAAACCCTACCGAGTTGAACATGTGGAATCGATAAACACGATATATACTATTTATTGTTTATTTATGTAGTAACACTGTGTAAGGTAAGTTTCAAAGAGGAAATAAAGAAGATTTATTCTCTGGTGTTGCTGTAGACTTATCAGGAAATATTGTACGTTGTCGAATTGAACATTTGGGTAACAGGTAAATGGCCATGTCGCCTTAACGAGTGATATTAAAAACGAGTACGATTTCGACAGGAAAACCTGAAACCATCGCTTCAAAATACATTATAATTGATATTTGAACACGGTAACACAACTGACGAAGGGAGACAATTTTCGACTCGTGCGCTATACGGGCATCGAACTCACGATCTACAGCACCAAATCGCCCAGCCAAGAAATTCGACAATGCTTAATCAACCACGTCATCCCGACATCCACGACATATATATTTGCATACATAAAATGCGTTTAAATGACGTCATCAAGATAAATTCCAAGAACGGCGAAATGAAACAGTAGCTAGTCTCACCATAAACGTGAATCAGTATGATCTCGCAGATTAGGCGCTGTCGTTATATATAAAAGCTTAAATGTATAGATTTGAATGATTTAGAAATTCAACTTTTTCACTTTTTTGTAGTAAAAGTAGTTTAATGAGATTTAACATCTAATGAAGAAGTGATGCGTCTTTCAATCAGATTTCATGGGAC